TTTCTGTCTCTCTCTCTAACCCTGTCCCCTTGTCTTTCTGTCTCTCTCTCTAACCCTGTCCCCGTCCTACTGTCTCTCTCTCTAACCCTGTCCCCCTCTCCTTCTGTCTCTCTCTCTAGTCCTGTCCTCTCTCCTTCTGTCTCTCTCTCTAGTCCTGTCCCCTCTCCTTTTCCTCTCTGTTTTGCCCATCTAATTCCCTGTCTCTCTCTCAGGACTCTACCCACAGATGCCTGAAGCCTCACAGCTGGACTTCACCTGCCTTAAAGAAGAGGTATGTGCCTTTCTTTCATGAAGGAACTAGGACTGCTGTGTAGCTGTCCTCAGGGTATGTATATCAGTGACATGTCAGGCACAGACAGGTGGCACCATGCACTCTGTACATCATGGGCACTGAGTGGTCACAGTGGAGCATGGTACTGCCCTCTTGTGCGTCATCGCAGCTGTTGGGTGTCGTTTTCTTCCCATAGTTGTTTCAGCAGGGCAGTTGGGTTTGTATCTTTTTGTGCAGGTTATAAAAACAGGTGTATTTCCACACACCTGCAATCGCCCCAGTTCTCTTCCATAGAACACAGCCGCAGATCACTGCCTGTGTCTCTCCACCAGGGGGAGTGGCTTCTGCTGTTCAATTACATCATCCCCTTCCTGGAGCTGCTGGAGCAGTCAGGACAGGCGCTGGGAGAGCTCGGGAGAGAGGCGGGGCCGCGGATCAGCCTGGGGACCGAGGCGGTGAGATGTGAGAGGCAGGAGGAGGGTGTAAACAAGCTTGTGAAATGACACAAAAAGAAGGAGAACTTCACATGTTGTCCTGTTGCAAGGTAACTCCTTCAGGCAAGCGCTGATGCAGTACGGGTATCTACAGCGCACATACAGGTCTGTGGAGTTTTGTACGGCAGTGTTCAGGTGTGCTCTGATGGAGGCATGTTCAGATACACAGATATACAGGTGTGCTTTGTCTGGAATCCTGTACAAATGTCTTCACCACAAAGGTATACGCAGTGTGTTCAAGAGTGCTCACTATGGAGTTCTATGTACAGTACAGTAAGGAGGTGTGTGTACAGGTGTGCTCAGTGTGGAGTTATGTACAGGTGTGTTCAGTATGGAGGTCTATGTGCACAGTATACAGGTCTGGTGTCAGTGACTCGGACCTCTTTCTCTCATCATCTCTCTGCAGGTGTGTAAGTTCCTGGTGTCTCTCAGCATGGACTTCAGCTCCTACTACAACAGAGTCCACATCCTTGGGGTAAGTGAGGCTGGACAGCGTCTCCCACTCTGCTGCGATCTTGCTCAGCCCCTGGTCCGGCTCCTGGCTCTGCTCTGTGTGCCTTCCCCTGTCTCCGTTCGTCCATCACGGCCTTCCTTGAGCCCTCTCACTGTCCCCGTCCCCCCTGCACATCTTCAGGCAGTGTCCCACGCTGATGGGCCCGAGGAGAGAGGATAGACGTCTTGACAATCCGATCAGGCCCTGACGATGTCAACCGAGTGTAGTTTTTCAGAATGATCCCAAATCAGAGACCCCAGTTCAGAGGGAGCGACTGTGTGGAAAATCGGAGGAACTCCGTGAAAGTGCATTAAAAAAAAAA